TTACACCTTGCAGATTGCATCCGTCGTTGAATTCGTTGCCACTTTCGGTAGCTTCTGGTGCACGACTTTCCGAAGCTCCTGCTTTGCTATTTTCCGGAGAATCATTGGCCTTGCGAACAACATTCTCGTAGATGCGTTTTCCTCTGACTTCCGACGATTCTTGTGATTGTCCTACGTTTTGTGTCTCAGCTTCTTCTACGTGTCTTTTGGGTGGACTGAAGTCTTCTTCTATCGTGTCCTGCGTTTCTGTAAGTATCGCTTCATTTTGTTGGCTCAAAGATCTACCCTTTCCTTTTTTCTTCTTGTAACAATGTAACATACAAACAAGGAAGAGAGTTGGGAAAACTATACAAGCCACTCCAACTGCTAAGCCATAGAGGAACATTTCTGGCACTACAAGTTTTCCTGCCTCTGTAGGTTTTTCTTAAATAAAAGAAATAATTTTCTTAGTTAATGTATCAATACAATATCAATCAGATAAGTGACAAGTTGATCCGATACTAAATTCTCCGAACTAACATTATAAGGATTGTATGGTTGATAGTTAAGAAAATTACAAATTTGATCTGGGAGTTAAATTAAAGGGTTAAGTGGGATAGAGTATGTAGAGAAAATAAAGAAGAAATTCATATTCTTTCCGGGGGAAATCGAACCCCGTTCTCCCAAGTGACAGGCGGAGATACTCACCTCTATACTACCGAGGATGTGTCAATCATTTTTGCCAGATTTGTCACAATTTACTTATGCTCTCAAAAAGCTACTAAGAGTCCAAATATACGAGTGTTTGCTAGGTGTGGAGAATTTGAAACCGTCGATTTTTTAAAGCAGAGACTATGGTTTGTGGAACATGCGATACGCTTTTGTGTTTTTAGGCAAGTAGAAGTCTGATTGACTGCGCTCGGACAGAGTGTAAGCACGAAAACTTCACAATATGATTTTTTTAGCCTACCTTCACAACTGCAGCTAGTTGACGATCCATACCCGTCCGTACACTTGTAACGTAGTAATTTTATAGCTGAGCCATCGTTGCATTTTGAAAGTGTACGTTTGATGTAACGACCATTACCACACGCTTCCCACACATCTGAGATGTTCGACGGCATCCATCCGCTGCAATTGGCCGGATGCACTGAAAAAGTTTCAAATTCTTTTAAGATTTGGATTTAAGACGACATTTGACGTTAAAGCCAATATTTTTTTTTTTTACCTATTTGATCTCATGTCTCGTTTTTCTTGTGCTTAGATTGATTTGAGTTGGACCGGGCCCTAAATTAGATTCGTGACTTTAAAGGCTCTCTCCTCTCTTTTCTGTCTGTTTTTCTCTTGCACTCATCGACCCTTTACTCCCTAACATCATAATGCATATTCTCCATACTGTTCTCTGAACATTTCCAAGGTTCTAACTGGGAGAATTTGTAAAACCATCAAGAGTCTCGTTGGAGACTCGCAGTCGCTGATCATCTCCTTTATTCTCCTCACTCAAACATTTAATTCAAGGGATATATTGCACTCGAAGAGATTAAAGAGTTAGACGGCAGGTCTATTTTGAGTATACTGGCAGATTAGAGTTTTATCCCTTACTCGTGCACGTGCAAGGTTTATAAAAAAAAATGATGTCAAGGGCTTCGCCTGTTTTTAGGCTTTGTTAGTTTAGTAAACCCATCTATTGTTAAAACATTCAAGAGCTTGAGACAACGTGAAAAAGATCAATGCTTTTGCTCCAGAATGCCTGTATTATAAATTAGGTATATTTAATTTACTTAATATATAGTTCTTGGGTGATGGCGTGACCTCCTTAAAAAATTAGCTATTCGAATAGAGGAATTTGCATCCGCTCTTTTATTTACTGAAAATTGGTGTAGAACGAAGAACAGTTGTCGAACACCACATGATAAAATCTTAAAAATTTTTTCTCTTCCTAAGGTAACTTAAGTTACTTCCAAAAATAGAAGCATTAATTCGATTGTATCTGAAATATTTCAAGGCTCATCGATGTGATTATTTGTTTTTTTAACAGTTCCTGACAAACTGTGATCAAAGACAAGAACAGACCATTCTACAATGGCGGAAATGAAAATTGACTTCATAATTCCGAGAAAAGCTAGGATTTAACTAACCATTCTACAATGCGGAAATGAAAATTGACTTCATAATTACGAGAAAAGCCGGGATTTAACTAAATCGAATCCATTTGACGTCTTGAAAGGTTTCAGTTTCTTGGGAGAAAACGAAATGATTATATTCTAACTTAGGTTCGTATTTTTTATGGTTTACGAAAGTAAATTTTTCGAAATGACAGAAACTAAAATAAAAGAAATCGAGAGCCCCGTTGAGATAAAACTTTTGACTCATTAAGGAAACTATCCACAATCACGGCCGTACATTTTAATGTACTGCACTAAAGATTCATTTCTTCATTTATCTGACAGGGAACGGCAAGCAAAGTCGATAGGTTATTAAGACAAGCTAAACCAGAGAGCGAATCATTATCAGTGCAGAACATCCTACGCTGAACTGTAATTTCAGTCTTTAAGTGATACGAGTATTAACATAAGTTTAATGATGTTAGTGTTTTAAAGCCGGCTGGCATAAAGAAAGAAGGATGCGCAGTTTGAAACAATTAATAACTGACTTGCTTGAGTGTCATCTACATAACAATGACTAACGCTATTTAAATACGTCGATCATTACTCCTTGCAAAGAAGTTCCTCGAGCCGAGCAAGGCAAAGACTTGGTACATCTAAAGTTGTTTTAAATTTAACACAACAAGCAAAAAGCAACACTTCTTCTCTCACGATCGTGCATTAAGCGGAAAATTGAATCTGAGCTAAACATAGCAACATTTCTAAATATGGAAGAATTTGGAAATTCTAAATCTTGTCCATCTTGTAAAATTTCAATTCAAACATGGCAATCCTCACCTGTTTCACACCCGCCGTGCGAAATTTGCGCTAACGTGAGTAACGCAATGCCAAATACTGAAAGGAAACTGATTTGCCGCAGCGAACGAAGGTTGTTCAACATATCAGACCAGTGAGTACCGCTTTGTAAGAGCTTACCGAAAATAGAGAACACGCTGTTTTGTTGTAACTCTTGCGTCTGCTTTGATGAGACCAACACTTTCGACTCAGCGTTTGGCTCGAATGAATTCAGTTTGTGGAAGTCTTGTTTACAAGGGAAGCGAAAGAGGGCGGGATCTGGACTTACCCTAACGACATACGTAACACTTCCGATGTTGTAACTTTCGCTTCTGCTTTGATGAGACTTACACTGCCGACTCGGCATTTGATTTGAATGAAATTAGTCTGCTGAAGTCTAGTTGACATGGGTAAACGAAAGTGGGAGGGAACTTGACCTACCGCGGTGACAGAAGGGACACTTCCGGTGTTCAATCGAGAAATTCAATGGTTTGAAGTATCATGTTTGAAACCTGTGTGTACCTATCTTCCAAAGCATATTATCAATCTCACGACTCGTATCTTAAAACATCCTCACAATTTTACGTTCTCTACTGCCAGTAGTAGCGCTCTATGATGTTGTTTTGTTCACGATGTCAGCCTTCATTCTCACATCATCCTTTTCCGGTTGTGTAAAAAATATGCTCAGACCTTTGCGTGCCAGAACTTCAGGATCATTTAGGAACTACAAAAGCTGGTTTAATGTGAAGTATCACTCCTTTATCGTCACTTAGGCTGTCTTTTGAAGTACAGTAAAATTGCTGTCAGTTTCCTTTGTATTCCTTAGTGGATTAAACCAGTTTTCTCATCTACTGAAGCCATTTCATCACCGCCTTTTCATCGCCGAAAACAAAGTATAACTAACACCAGAAGTTAAAGCAGAAATCCCCGTTTGGCGTCAGTCATCTGCAGCGACAAAAAAAAAAATAAAATTAAATAAACAAAAATCTCGATTACTTAAGAGCTTGCGGAAAAGAGGAAATGTAACCGCCCCATACGTCGTAAACAAGATACTTCATAGCTGGGTGCAGCTCAGATATTGTCCGCATTCTTGTATCTATCTTTGTTCCCTTCGCCAAAACGTAATAATGACCCGTGAAGTGAACCGTGACAGTAGGGATACAAAATAAACATGTTTTTTTAGCCGCCCAGTTCTCTTAATAAAGTGGGAGGGAACTTGACCTACCGCGGTGACAAAAGGAACACTTCCGGTGTTCAATCGAGAAATTCAATGGTTTGAAGTATCATGTTTGAAA